CTTAAAACAAGAGAAAAAGCTTTGCCTTCGAATCATCCCGATTTGGCTACTTCGTACAGCAACATCGGTGAAGTGTACAGCGACATGGGTGATTACTCGAAAGCGCTTGAATTTTACGAAAAAGATCTAGAAATCACAAAAAAAGCTCTGCCTTCGAATCATCCCTCATTGGCTACTTCGTACAACAACATCGGTCTAGTGTATAACAAGATGGGCGACTACTCGAAAGCACTTGAATTTTACGAAAAATCACATAAAATCTACGAAAAAGCTCTTCCGTCGAATCATCCCTCATTGGCTACTTCGTACAACAACATCGGTCAAGTGTATAACAACATGGGTGACTACTCGAAAGCACTTGAATTTTACGAAAAATCACATAAAATTAAAGAAAAAGCTCTGCCTTCGAATCATCCCTCATTGGCTATGTCGTTCTGGCACCTCGGCTCGATTTATGAGAAAATGAATCAATACTCAAAAGCACTCTCGTTTCTAGAAAAATCACTTGGCATCTACCATAAATCACTTCCACCAAACAATCCTCATATTGAATCGGTCACAAAGGCGATTGACAAGATAAAAAAGAAAATGTAGTTTGTTTTTTTTCGATTTGCTTAAAAAATTTATTTGAATTACAATTCACTACACTTTTCCCGATTTTTCCTCGGCTCATTCTCGCGTACGCGCGCGCGCGACCAGGAAGACTCCCTGTGAGCCCGATATGGGTACACGCAGAGCAGACCACGCCGGACTGGTTGGGCATGATTGTAGGTATATCGTACAATAACGACGGCAGGGACCTACGAACAGATGGCCTTCCCGAGTACTACACTGCTTTCACCATAACGGGCACAAGAAATCTCCCTGATCTTGCATCTCCTGAAAAAAAAACAATTTATTAGAATACTTATTCATTCTATTGTTGATACAATAGATCGATTGAATTGAATGATTTTATACAAGAAAATCATTCCTTATATAGGATGTTTCAAAAACATGAACTGTTACTCAATGATAATGATTAATAGATAATTGATTCGGATCATTAGTTCAACCATTGATGAGATAATCATTTTCATCGACGATCAAGTTATCGCCACTCGACGACGTCTCTTTCATTTCTTTTATAATTTTCTGTAAAATATTGTGAATGAATATGTACTTATTCTATTTACATCACATTCACAGCCGTAACTCAGTGACTTCAAAACAATCAAAAACAATTCATTTCAATGGTTATTGTTTGAATTTACATGTAGGAAATTTCATAGGGAACATAATTTTTGGTCAGTAAAATAAATGAAATGGTCAGTAAAAAAATATACAAATTATTCAGTGTGAATATTGATATGGTCAGTACTAAAGTGATCAGTAATTAATTATGAAATGGTCAGTTTTTTTATATATAAGTATCAATAACAAATTCAAATTTGGTCAGTAAAAATGCAAATTTTATAAGTAGAAGAAACAAGTTTTATTCGTATAAAGATTAATTTAGTATAAAAAAAATAAATTTAAATAAGTTAAAAAAACCACAGAATAAATAAGAAGAAATTCAAAGAATGAATCGAGAAAAAGAAAAGTAGAATTCAATTATTGTATTAGCAAAGCAGGTTTAACCTTTGCTGGTTTACCTCTTTTTTTTCTCATCGGTCAGCACTGTCTTTGCTGCTGGTGGTGCCTTGCAATATTTTAAACGATTACCCAGGCAGGGATAAAAATGGTAAATGGCATTAAAATGCCTTCAAATTGCAATAAAAAAAATGGTGGGAAATGGTCATGAATAATGCCCAAAAAATGCCTCCTTGGTGATCCATTAAAATGATTTTGTTTTTCGAACAATGAAAATGGTTTTAAAAATGCTAAAATAATGCTTACAACACACACCATTTTTTGGCATTATTTGTGACCATTTCACATCGTTATAATTATGTTGATTTGGAGGTATTTTAATATCAGTTTATCATGTCTATCTCTGCCTCAACACATTTCAATTTTTATATTTACCATTTATTTAATTTACTGATTTTTAAATATATCAACAAACTTAATGATTTCAATAACTGACCGTTTACATATTTTACTGATCATTCATTTTTTACTGACCATACATTTATTTTACTGACCATTTCATTTATTTTACTGGCCACTTAAATGGTAGCCAATTTCATACTTTTAGTTATTTCAGATAATATTTAAAAAAAACTCTATTATTTACATTACTTTGACATCATTTTCATTGCATAATGATGATTATTTTCGAAAATAAGATTTCTTCATTACTTTCATTAGTTTTGTACGATTTGTGTCTCATGATTTGCAGTATTTCGTGAAAGAAAAATTATTCATTTACTTGAATTACTTTTACATTTGAAATATGCAATTTCAATCGATGCCTTTTGTGCGAAACACATCGTGTGTCATGGTTGTTCTTAAAAGTTTAACCATGAAACGAATAAATTTGAATCCTTTTTACAGAATTCAAGGTGTTTCTTTTTCATCCTTCTCATCACGTTATCTTCATGAATTAAAAATACGATTTTCATCAATGAATTTCAAAAAACATTAAAGAATACATATAGTTTATCATCACAAATGTTTCTTTTTGTCATTTCACGACATCGTTTTTCTTAAGACAAAATTTCATTAAAACGATGTAAATAACATCATTGTTTGTCATTTTATAAGTCACACCCTCAAGATCAACAATTATGTGAACACGTTCCACCATCCCAAAGAGTTAGTTTAATTTGTAAAAAACAATATAGATATTGTATATCTGATGTTAAATTGCGTTACAAGACATGTACATGTTTGAGTTTTCAATGAGGCTCTACATCAATTAATTACTAAACGAGCTTTATTGTAAAATATTTTCATACATCAATTCTTTTCGAAATATCACTTGATTGATAATAATAGTCTTTATGACAAAGATATTGATGTTGAATTTATAGTTACTATTTGTAATGATTTATCAGGTATAGATGATAGTTCCAAAGAAATAAAGATAACTGTTATTCATTATTTTACTTTTTTCTTACTGGTTATTCTAATTTTAATGACTGATATTCAGAGTTTTTAGAACATATTTATTTTAAATAAGAATCTTCAACTCATATTAATAAATTGTTGATGTTGTACTATCATCACTTGATGGTGAGACATATTTAGGGATTTTTTCAATGAGTCAACGATAAAAGTTTTGCTCCCAAACAATTCGAAAGAAAATCTAATCAAGAGAGAAATCTAAAAAATGAAAAAAAAAGACTTAGAAATTATTCATAATAGTATGATTCTTCGTTTCTATACCATTTTTGATGAAATGATGAATTAACCATCGTCGAATAAATATTCTTTTTGGTTCTTACTCATATTGGTAGATCATTATTGTAAATTTAGCTTATCTAGTTTTGTCTCTATATATTTATTACACATTGTAATATAACTATATATCTCTTAGGTTCTGCTCAGAGATTTTCGTAGGATATTGGAGATAGTTTTTCAATGTGATTAATATCGTGTATCCATGTTTCGTGCACACAAATTTTATTTTGTTTTGTTATCTGACAAAGATGTTATAGTTGCTGCTGTCATTGATCGTTGTATTTGCCTTTCTTGTTATCATCCGTATTTCTAGATATGCCACTAGCAACGACTTCATAAAAAGATTTGTTTACATTCTATAAAGAATTCTTGTAATGCGGAAACCAGAAACTATGCTGATAACTTGTTTTCTCTTCGTTACGAAACTACTCATTAAAACATAGTACTGTAGCTGAAAATTCACGAGAAGCTTTTTACTTGTTAAAAGAAATACAAGTTCATCCAGAAAACACAATCATGAACATGTACAAATTAGACCATTTTTTTGTGATTACGATTTCTTCAATTATTTTTCTATTGCATAAAGGACAATCCAGAAATCTTGATTCGATTTGAATATTAAAATTTTCTTTGTGAAATAAATATTTGTAAAATTTGTCTTTATGATGAAAAGATACAGTAAAACACACTCTACAATATGATATTTTATTCACTTCACTATTTCATGTAGTGAGAATTGAAATAAGAATGCAACGTAACTCGTTCGTAACGTCTCAGAGGACAAATTCTTTGTGTAAAATTGAAGATATATCTTGTTAAGATTCTTTTTTCGAATTACAAATAAATAAACTATCTGATAAGATCCTCACGCAAGGTCAAACTTAGTTATGGTAACTTCTTCACTTTCATTGAAAAGCCATATTTTTACTTAGATTTAAACAATAAATTCTTGGCTCATATCTCATTCAAAATCCAATTTTTTTTCTATTTTTAGAAAGTTTTACCTCAACAAATTCTTTTAAACTTTCAGTAAAAAAGATAAAACATTCAATGAAACAAAAATAAATCAAAGTATTAATAAAATCTTCTTTTCAATTCACATATGCAACAAGACAGAATAATGAAAAAGAAAAGAAGGTTAACAAACGAATAAGACACTACTGTCAACTATTTTGTATCATGATATGACTATTGCTTATACTATTGTGATTTCTATGATGATATAATGATGAAAAATGATTCGTATAGAAATTTGAATAATGTAATTTTTTTTTCTTAGTCTTTTTGAATTTATGACATTTATTTTAGCACATAGTTGTTTCTCAACAGATACTTTATAGAAAATCCTGATCAGCTGATAAATAAATATATAATAAAATTAGATTCAAATAGCATCCTCACATCTCACGATTCCGATATTTCGATGATCTTAAAGAGATACATATATATTAACAGTTATTTGAATGTTAAGTTAATAAAGAAGCGCAGTTATCAAGTCGAGTTACCAAATCAGTTTGACATCCTTCTTATGACTTCACACATCTTATTTTTCGCGTAATTCTTTATGAATGATGTCAATTTATTATTTAAATTTTAAGTTGAAAAAAAAAGAACATGATTTTATTTTATTATTATTGTCTATGAGCACAAGCCAGAAAATTTGGTTGATCATACTAGAAGTCGATTGTTTTATCAGTACATGCTTCTCCTCCAGTTGGACCAACATGTGGACAATGTATAGATGGTAATAAAGGTACAAAATATGTATGAATAAAACGGCAAATAACATTTTCTTGATCTGCTCTATCATATGAACCATAAGGTATTGGTGTTCTTAAAAATTATTGACAATCACTAAAATTTGAATATTGTTGTAATGTTCCAGTACAGAATCTTTGTGTAACATTACATAATCGTATTTATTTTTGCTTGACGTTCTTCATCTGTACGTGGATCTAATGTTAATTTAACATTTCGTATTTGTCCATCATATCCACATACTTTATAATCTTTATCAAAAGCAACAGTTGTAAAAAAAAGTTAATCGTATATTATTACTTAAATGTGCTATATATTCAATGTGAATGATCAAATATTTTTCATCATAAGCAATATGTGCTAAATCAAATGATTGAATAGTATTTTCTCGTGTTGGTAAATTTCGTATTGGGCAAACAGCTCCGTATAAATACTCAAGAGCTAAAATTGTGCTTGGAAATGTTCCAATCGGTATAACACGACTAGATAAACCTTTTGAGGATATATATTTAGATTGTATATTATTATCATTGAATAAAACTTGAGAACAGATTGGAGGTAATAATGATGATAATGATCGATATGTGGCATTGTATAATCTTTGATAAATATTTTTTTTTATTGTGCTAAATTAGGCCATCTTCGACATTGACAAAAATTCATAATTATGAATAGAAATAGGAATAATTGCCAAAATGATAATTTCATTTTTATTTGTCTTTATTGTAAAATTTGAAGACAGAGATCTAAAAATAATATAAAAAAGAAAACAAGGAATCTGATAATGTTAATTGTATGTCGTTGTTTAGTCTTTATAAAATTGCATTATTCATATAACATTGAATAACTCAATCAACAAACTACGAAATTATTGCCAAGTTTTTTTTAAATATATATATTCGAAAATAAGAGTCTCTGGATTTATCGATTGTTTCTGCTTGATTGGACATGTTTATCATAGTAGTATATTTTGGTCGTTATTTGCTCCTGATTAACATCAATGTTGATGATAAAAGTTTCATTCTTAGAGATGAGTATTATCCCATTGGCGCATAAGTTCTGAGAATTTTTTTTTTCTGGTTTAACAATAACTTTATTTTTCAACAAAGATATGCAACATCAATCAACAATATAATCGCCATTGTTTTATGTGTATTTCTTTTGTTCTTTCATTTACTTTCATCTCACTACTATACATTCGTTCCTGTTCTGTCAAGGTCAAAAAAACATTGAAATTGACCTTGATCTTTTGTGTTCTTATTACGCAATAATATATCTATTACATAATAATATTTCTATTGCGTATTTTGTAATACGTCATCCTAGTATCGTTATATATATATTCTCTTCTATTCTCTTGTTACCTTGTTTATGATTAAATGGATGAACAAAAAATTCCTATTCGCCACTGTATGCTCTACGAGTCCAATCGAGATTCAACAGCAGCTAAAGCAACAAAGAATATTCAAGCGGCATATGGCGAGGAAGCGGTCGGCAGTTCTACTTGTTACCGACGGTTTTCCAAGTTCCTTTCCGAAGATACCACCTTGAAGGATAAACCTCGCTCCGGGCGACCTGTTGACTTTGACGATGAAGCGCTGCAAGCTTTGCTCGACGCTGATCCACGTCAAACAACACGCGAATTAGCCGAACAACTCAACTGTCACCACTCGACAGTGGAGCGTCATCTTCATGCTCTCGGTAAGGTACATAAGTATGGACGTTTGGTTCCACACCAATTCTCCAAAGACAACTTGGTTCAGCGAGCATCGATTTGTGCTTCATTGCTTTTCAGACAAAAGCATGAGCCCTTTTTGGATCAAATTGTCACTGGAGATGAAAAATGGGTGTGTTACGTCAATGTGCGTCGCAGAAAGCAGTGGCTTGAGCCTGGCCAAAAGCCATTTCCGAATGTAAAACTAGACATGCATCCAAAGAAGATAATGTTGTGCATCTGGTGGGATATGAAAGGTGTCATCTATTTCGAGCTGTTAGATATCAATCAAACGATTACCGCCAATGTCTACTCTCAACAATTGCAGCGATTGAATGAAGTTCTATCTCAAAAGCGACCGGCTTTGGCGGATCAAAAAGTCGTCATCCTTCTCCATGACAATAGTCGACTACATGTGGTACAGTTGACTCAGCAAAAAGTCGAACAGTTAGGATGGGAAGTTATTCCGCACCCGCCGTGGTCATCAGACCTTGCACCATCCGATTAGCATCTGTTCCTATCTCTTCATAACTACCTGTGCAATAAACATTACGAAGACTTCGATGAGCTGAAATCGGATCTAACTGCCTTTTTCGAATCAAAACCGGGTAGTTTCTACAGACGTGGAATTGAACTATTGCCAGAAAGATGGGCGAAGGTTGTCGAAAATAATGGCGATTATATTGTTGATTGATGTTGCATATCTTTGTTGAAAAATAAAGTTATTGTTAAACCAGAAAAAAAAATTCTCAGACCTTATGCGCCAATGGGTTAAAAAAACCCTACATTACTATTGGCTGTTACGATTGGTGTATGCAATTAATGGATTTATATCGATGAATGTAAAACAAACAAACAAATTTGCAGTGCATAGTTCTATATATATAACATTCCAGTATTTTAAAATATAAGCGAAAACAAAGCAGAATTAAAATTATCTCGGATTTTTCATCGCAACATTTTCTTTTTCATGACTACTACTCAAATATATTGCAATAGAATGACATGAAACTTTGATAAGATTATTGTGAATGATTCGGAAGAGCTCATTTTTGAAATAAAAATAGTTGTTATTGTTATTTATCATGAAAATAAATTTTCAACCTTATAATACCAAATAGAATAAAAAGTAGAGCAAAAAACAAAACAAAACAAAATAATTTCTTCTTTTAACATAAATCTACAACTATAATATAACATTGTTTAGAGATGAATGAAAATTAATAGATGGCTCATATCCTCTCTGCATGTTTCAGTATTATTATATTTAGAAAATAATTGCTAAGAGTGACAGACATTTTCATATAAGAGATCATTGCTCAAGCACATTTTTGAATAGATATTTTTCAAATGACAGCTGAGAACCAACTGTTTCAATTGATATGATCAAAATCATAATGCTTTCCGAGTATATAATATGGAAAAAAATTCGGATTTTCAAAGAAAATCCAATAACTTCAAAAAAAATCCGATAGGCTTTCGTATTACAATCTTTGATGAAAAAATAAGCGTCTTGTTTTTATCGATAGATGGTTGATTCATGTGACGCAGATTATTTTTATTTTGTTGATTACAATTTAAACTGATTAAATAATAAGATAAGTGATCATGTTCATTGTCAAGTAAGCTTGCACATTGTATCAATCAAAAGCATAGGGAATAATAGATTGTCAGATAAGAAATGAGTAAGAAAACGATTTAGTCCATTTTCGCCAAAGACGAATTTCGCCGAAAAAAATTTTACCCAAGGAAATTCGCCGAAAAAAAAGTTCGCCGAAAGAATTTGGTCACCAAAAACAAGTATAGGTTGAGTTTAATCATATATACAATAATTCTACTGAGGCAATTAATCGATCACATCAAGTCAGTTAAATCCCACTTGAGATGGCTTTCATGTCGGTTAAATTGACTATCAAGTCAGATGGTAACCATCTGAGTTGGTAGCCAACTGAGTTGATAGCCATCTGACTTGGTAGCCAACTGAGTTGGTAGCCATCTGAGTTAGTTATCATACTAATAAAATTTGTTCATTGGTTAAATAAATGCCACCAGAAGAATATTTATTCGTCCTAATTTGTACGCAAAAAGACTTGTGGCGTCGGGATAATCTTTATACTCCGGTAGAGGTTAACAGTTGAGAATTCGTTAGATTAGTTTGAGAAAATAAAGAATGGTGGAAAAGGGTGTGGGGGTGTGAGTGGGGTATGAGACATCTCTTAGCCAACACCCACACCGACTCTCACACCCCACACCCCAAACCCACACCCACACCCACCCACACTCACAGCCCACCCACCCACATCCACACCCCACACCCACAAGCACAGCCACCCACACCCCACACCCACACCCACCCACACTCCATATTTAGAGAATCTCGAAAAAGCCGAAATATTCGAAACCTTATACGTTTTCCAATCTTGGAGAAACGAAAATCCAACTCAAAATATATCATTCGATAGAGAAAAACAAACTGAATAAGATTATGTCCTTTGTTTTCAAAAAGGATTAAATAAAAGAGATATTAATTGCTAATTACACTTGGGTTTTTCTATGAGTCTTTCATTAATCTCGATTTTTCATGATACAAATTGGATCGAAAATGTTTTTCAAAGATACAGACTTGTAGAGAAAATAATTCTCTACAGAATGATGTGTATGTGTACAAGATTAGTAACTTCTTTGAAGGCATCTCAGGTCTATCTTTTTAAGTGCACTTTGTAGTGTAGGAAGAAAAAAGAAATTTTTTTTTCTTCTGTTATATATGTTGTACGAACAGTCTATAGCTTTTGTTTTCCTATATTATGAAATAGAATTAGAAAAATAGATCTAAAATGATTTTAACGAAATGGTTAGTCTTATATATTTATGTATCATTTTATAGAGAATTTAATTCTTTACAAGCTTGAATCTTTGGAAAATATTTTGGACCCGATTCATAGCATGATAAATCGAGATTAATAGAAAATCCATAGAAAAATCTAATTGTGATTCGCAAATAATGCCTTTTTTATTTAATCCTTTTTGAGAACTAAGGACATAATCTGATTCAATTTGTTTTTTCTTTATCGAATGATGCATTCTGAGTTGACTTTGCATTTCGTCAAGACTGAAAAATCTAGGTTGTCTGTCAAACCTATAGTATTTCAAATATTTCGAGTTTTCCGAGATTTCATCAATGTTATTTTCGTTCTCAAACGACACTATCATGTAGAGAAACTTTTTTTTTTCTATCGAATGAGGTATAATTCGAAATAATTTGATGCAAAATAAAGACAATATAAAAGAACAAATATAAGTGTCCGAATAATTTTTTGCATAGGAAATCACGTGGTTAATGAATACTCTTTCAAACCTTTTTGAAAGACTTTTGTAGAAGAAATCTTTTTTGTATGAAATAAAGTACGGACTTCAGTCTATCGAATGGTATAGTTAAAGTCAGAGAAATATTCTTTTTTCATTGTGAAATTTCCTTCATGAGAAATGCATCAGAGGGTGTCTGAATATTTGTTTTACGCACTGTATACAAGTTGAATTGAATTAAATTCGTTCATATTTTTTGCCAGCATTATCTAGCATTGAAATCTCAAATATGCTCGATCGTGTCAATCATTTTTTATTCCTATTATCAACTACCAATTCCAACAAAATTGCGCCTATACGATGAACTATACTATTTTACTGCGCTTGATGATAATCATATCTCGTTAATGAAAATAGATAAAGAAATGAATGAAATTCTATTTGAGTATTATTCACTTTAGATTGTCATATAACAGAAAACATTGTCTCAACAGCGAAGAGTTTTTTTTCTTTCTATACGATTCAGCACTGAAACTAAAAAAATTTCAAAAAAAATTATCTAAAAAAGTGAATCAATTGATTTCTCAAGATGAATTTCTATTACTTTCTTATTTTAAGCCCTGTGCCATAATCTCAGTTGAACTAATGATTAATTTTATTTTTAATTCAAAGATTTATTTTTTGTAATGAATTATTTTTTTTTTGACCTAAATTGCACATCATTGACATATTCACATTGTCATCAAAACTTGGACAGAAAAGAGTTAAACATGGAATAGAACCTGCTTGATTCAAATCGATGAGGATAAGTTACATACATACACTTTTATATGTAGCGTGTGAATGTAACTTATCTTGACCTATAACGTCACGTTAGAGACTATATCATTCGTTAACGATGTTTCAATTGGACGATGTCATTGATCTTTCATTTTTTCAACGAGTTCGTCTATTCCATATTCCACAACGACGAAAGCTGTTATAAATAAACAATGGATATATATATACCTTTATGTTTTGAGCTATCATAGTGAGAGTAAAATATGAGTCGATCGAATGTTAATCTATTGGATTTACCTGACGAGATATTGCTTATTATTTTGAAAAAACTGAATAATATTGATGTTCTTTATTCCTGTATCGACATTAATAATGAACATTTGAACAGTCTAGCATATGAAAAAATCTTCAGTGATACTCTCAATTTCGTATCTATCGATAATGGTTCTGCAATTGATCAAGAGAAACTTGATCGATTTTGCAAGGATATATTGCCAAAAATTCATGAAAATGTCAAATGTTTTATTCTTGAACCAATTTCAATGGAATGTATTCTTCATGCTGCTGATTATCGAAATCTAACTGAACTTAAACTTTTTAATTTCACGAAAGAAGTCGCTTTAAATTATTTTACAAGTAAGAAAAATAACAGAAGAATGGTGTTAAATAGAACAGACTGTTGAATGTTTTATTATTTATTTAGATGAATCATCTCTTCAATATATCTTTCAAGAAAAAATTACAAATCTTATTATTGCAAATAAAGACAGATGCAGTAGGATGGTATCATTGGAATATTATAGTAGAAATGTATATGAACATATCTTGAAATTCTTCAAAAAATTAAAACATTTGAGTATTATTGAAACATTCAATCGTTTCTATCCACCTTTATCACTATGTCATTCACCATCAACTAGTTTTTTCTCTTCAACTCTTACTCATTTACGTATCAAAGTATCCACATTAGATGATTGTTTTTATTTACTTGATGGTCGACTCAAACAATTAACTACATTTATTATTGAAATATGTGATACAAGCAAGTCTTCATCAATCATTCACAATATGGTAAGTTTTAATAAAGAATGTCAATCGTGAAATAAAGTTGACTACCAATTCTATATACTTTTATATTTATAAATATTCTTTTTTATTGTATAGGATGATTTACCTAATTTGAAATGTTTTTCATTGAAATGTTATCGTCAAACTAATAAATATGATGAGAAAATTCTACCTCTTCTTCATCGTATGACATATCTGGAAAAATTAACTTTATATCTTCTTATACAAAATCGAGGTGGATTTATCGATAATTCTCATATTCAAAATGAAATTCTTCTTAATATGCCACGTCTTCATTCATTTACTTTTTGTATTAATACTTATGATGATACTGATGATTTATTTCGTTATGTACCTAATCAAGATATTCAACGAATTGCTACAAATAATGGACACCAACAATGTATGGCTAATATCATAAAATACAATAGTAGTTGTCAAGCTGTATGTTCTATCTTCTCACTTCCTTTTGTATTTGATTATCTTCAAGATATTGGTAACATATTTCCAGATACTGTATTCAAATATGTTACGATATTGTGGGTAGTAGATGTAATGCCATTCAATCATGAATTCTTTATTCGGATTTCTCGATCTTTTCCATCACTGGATCAATTTCATGTTACAAGTTCTAAATTACAATTGTCGTGTAATATGAACGCATTTTCATCTGACGATAGTCAATCATATTCAATCGCCAAATATCCTCATCTTACTTTACTTGACGTGATAAAAGCAAATATTGACAATGTTGAAGAATTTCTAAATGAAACAAAAGCGTATGTACCATGTCTAACTATATTAATAATTGATTATAATGATTTGAAAATTGTCACAAAAAACTTTACAAGAGAAGAAACACGACGCAATTGTACGAAGATAAATAAAATTATGTCCAACATGTTGCTACCGAAGAAAGATTTGTATTATTACTTTCCTTCGTTGTAAATGAAATTTTGTTTTGTTTTGTTTAATAAATTGGAAAGTATAAATGTTATATTTCGATGTACGACATAATTAAGATATAAAGAAATGTCGACTATTAGTGATGTTATACTAATAGTTAATCTTGCGATGATGATACTTACAAAGAGGTTTATAGAAGACATTCTGTAAAGAGTTCTAAGAATCAAATCTTTATGTTTCGTTCGTATCTTTACATATCTTAAAATAAAGTTTTAGGCAAATTAGAGGAGCTTCCTCCTCCCCTTTAGATAAATGAAATAAGAGACAGTTTAAACGATCTTCTCTGAAAATCGATATTTGTAGCTCTATTTACCAGTGGTAGTCGGACTAAGAATTCGTTCTGAAAAATAGTTTTCAGTTTCGATACTATAGGGATGGCATTGAATGTTCAAGATATATTGAAGGTATAATAAAGAGATGATAGTAAGATCTTTTATTCAATATCATGAAGCATTTATAGAATATTCGTCGAATGAATTTTTATAATCGACCAATTTCTAACGGAATTTTCTTCGACTTGTCATCGTAACAGAGGTGAGCACAGGACAGGACACTAAGCAGGACAAACATGATTAGTCATTTTTTTTTTAAACAGATATCATTATTATATTCCATGGGCAGGTAGAATTAACAACAGAAAAAGCAGTAGAATAATGAGTGGGTCAACAATGTAAGTGTTTCAAATGAAATAGTATTATACACAGAAAATAAAACACATTCTCTTTAAAAAAGCCTTTTATACTTTTACATGTATGACACTAGTAAAATATTATCTAATTGCTCAGAATTGAGGTGAGTTCGTCTTTTTGTGTAAATAATTTCTCTTCACTAAAATTGTCGTTCGACTCCTAACTAGAGCCATCTTGGTCCAATGTTGTCAGACTCAATCTCATCCATGAACAGCAGTCTTAATACTTTCAATGAAGTTTTTATAACTTAATCGGATAGTTGCACCCCAAATGCAAGATACTTTTTTTGCTTATTATTATTGGCAAGTAGCCCAGCCTATACATTTCTCAGGCAATATTTACGATGATCTTACAATAATCAACATATAATTGGATCTTATTCTTAACTATAGTCCGTTGGAGCTAAAATTTTTAGATTCAATCAACACAGCGTTTTAATAATCGACCCGATTAAGAGAATTTTCAATAGCGAATTCGGATCGGACTCGATCGAATTCAAAATTGACTTGATGAGCTCTACTTCACTATTGTTTCGACTATTCTCTAGACTGAAACGATAGGATCTGAAAATCGAAAGTCACTTGTACTTGTTGGAAACGCAGACTAAATGGGCATGGTAACTATAGTACAAAGGACTATAAAGGGTATGTGGTCTACATGATTATCTGATATCTATATAATTCAAATAGACATGGCGAAGAATAATTATAAGGATCATCAAAGTACTGTAATTTGAATTAATCCACTAGTTTTGGTTAAAAATAATGATCATTGTTTAACTATTTATTGTGAATGGATTATTATTCAATGTGCATCAAAGAGTAGGTGCTCTATCAATAACTTAGAGTTTTACTAATGAGTATGAACATAAAATATGATAAACAAAAATCATATCCTTTAAATAATGAGATAAAATATTTTTAAAAGTAAAAATAGCGCCTGAATAAAATAACGATCAAAATTCATATTGCTGTTTTCAACATCGTTCTAATTATTAATTTAAAATGATAAAGTTTCATTTGAGAGAGAATCCACCCAATGTTAATACGCGTAATAATTCGCAATATCTAATGGAAATGCTCTTCTTATTTATGAAGAATGTTTTTTCACGATTAAGTAGTGGTATCAATGCATATACAAAGAAATGCTCATATCGGCGCAGTTTGAATTCAGACAAAGAATTATATCAAATGATTCAAAGATTATGATTTTTGCTTATCCTAGTTATCTGTTCGCACTCACTAATAAAGCTCTAATTTATTGATAAAGTACTCGCTCGTTAATACAGCGTTAAACAATAATCTAGTCATAATGAATAGTTAAACAATAATTGTTATTTTTATCTAATACAGAGCTGCCAGTCTGGCCTGTTCCAGGCCAAGAAATTCATGGCCAGGCCAGGTCGAACTATTTGGCCTGATCAATTTTTACATGAAATGTTTGCTTTAGTGCATTCGAAGGTTAAGTGTCACTGTAAATCAATTTATATGTCGAATTAGAATTAAAATAGAAAGGATCGGTTTAGAATTACTCCAACAAGCAGTATCAAAGAGAGAACAAAAGCAGCATTTCGAATAGTAGGTGTATCAAGCATAATCATAATGTACGATACACTTGCTAAGTCCAATATACACGTTGTTTTATGTGCTTTAAAAGAAACAGCGTGTACGCGACACATTGTGTTTACAAAATTAATATATTGTTTTCAATAAAAAAAAAACCGGTTTCTATGTGAATTAATATTAATGTCAATGAACGAGAAAGTGTACAACCAGATCTCTATTTATCAATTTAATGAAGGTTAATCTTTCGCTTTTCTTTTCTAAAAGTATTCTTACTCTGTTTTAAGCATGCACAGATAGATTATTGGTTAATTCAAGTTTTGTGCTTTATGAATAACGATTTTTTTTATTCTTTTACCTCACATGAGTAAAACTCAATTAAAATTAAATGACTTGTATGTAGACTAAAAATGGAGTTTCAGTTACAGAACGGATTTCATCATCAATAACATAAGAACGTAGTTTGTTACCAGGAGAGTCAGAGCTTAGTTCATAAAGGAGAAAAACATGTTCGGAATTGCCCAGTACCCTCAGCACTTTCCCAGCACTTGATAGTAAAACTGGATGCTCTGAAGCTACACCTACCGGGTGTCTCAAAAGTCCTGTCGTAATAAGTTTTTCGATTATCTCCACTATTTCATTTGACAATATCAACTTTTTCTTTTGAATGATAGAGGAGAATAGTAAGTTTTTTTTCATACGAGTGAAGTTCAGAAATACTCTTGAAAGTGTATTACTTGTAGCTGTGAAAGAAAAAGTTAGCATTTTTATGATAGTAGAGAGCAATACAGAGTATCTCAAAAGTCCTGTCTTCATACGTTTTTTGATTATCTCCACTAT